TAGATCCCCAGAAAATAAATTAACAGGTCAGACCAAGAATATATAAAATATTATCCTTTTCATACGGAAGTTATAAATTAAATCTAGACCACTGTACTTGATTCGGACTACACAACTGTACTTTTGACCCAATCAACTCAACGTTCACAACGAGTTTTACCTTAATGCATATACGAGTATATATACTTATACTTATGTATATACTTCCTATGAAGGCTGCTTTGAAATGGAATTCCTTTTGAAGCTCACACCAAAATCGAATTCAACTTGAAAACCAATACACAACGGTGCCAAAACCATTTATATTTATAGCACCCCCCTTTTGAAAAACGGTCAGACCGACTCTACCGACAAACCGTCTCAACGGACGAAACTGGCTGACAAATGGGCCAACAGACAGACGGACGGTGGGGCGGACAGACCGTCAGACTTCTTTATGCCCCCATTCGCATACACATCCTCTCGACATCTTTTGTACAATAAAGATAGATTAGCATCTATCGAAAGCTGTGCCAGCAAAACGAATGAATGTGCGGGTCGTTCGATTTCTCGGGTATGTGACAGACATACAGTCAGAGCGAGCAAGCAAGCGAGCGAATAACTGAAAGCAAAATTCCTCGTACTATACCCCCATTATATGCCCCTAAGCCCCAGCTGAGAACTGGTGGTGCTGTTAGTGCGACGGTTCAAGTGCCATCATCTGAGTTTCAACGATGCCTATAGAATTGAAGCTATGCCAAGTCGTGTATGAACAACAACAACAATAACACCAACAACAACAATAGAAGCAGCATCCACAACAATAATAATAACAACAACAACAACAGCAACAACAACAATAAAAGCAATCGGAGCATTTTTCAAAGCCCAAGAGGCTTATGTCGGGCCGACAACCCAAATAAGAAGTTAGCAGCAGCAACTAGCACGGCCAGTTGCCGGCTATAAAGCAGCTGTCGAGGCTACATTTACCATCTAAAGCAGAAACAGAGACCAAAACCGAAACCGAGACTCGTTCCGACCCGACCCGAAGCCAAACCGAACTGGTATAATTCATAGCCACCATTCACCAATGCCGCTCACTTGCCTCCAAACATACATTTTCCGTTCTGTATGTATCTGTAGCTGTATCTGAGCATCGTTGTATCTGTATCTATACCAAGCTACATGGCATGTATCGTAGTATACTCGTATTCTCGTATTCTCGTGCGATAATCGCCTCGCTCTGTCGAACCAAACATGGAACGGGGCAACTGAGGCTTTTGGCTACATAAAGCCATTCATTTTTGGTATACAATCGCTTTGATTATGGTGTGAGAGCTGTTAGTTGGATTCGCTATGGTTTCGAGTAATATTTATTTTATATACACACACCCATACACCCATACCCATATAGATGCGGGGGTGTAAATAGATTTTGTGTAAATAAAGGAATGATATAATGGAAAATTTTATGGAACTTCTCATACGGTTGAAATATGATAAGCTTCGGTGTAGTTAAGGGGTCTTGAGTAGGCTTAAAATAGCAAAATCAATAATACTCGTATTACCCGATATCGGGTGACGCAATGCAATGCTTTGAATATGAATGAATTTATTGAGTAGTTTGTATTGTTCTTTTCTTGTTCACATTACTTACCACTAATTCTTCTAGTGCACTTTATTTTCCATTGATCCTTTGATCCCCTTAAGTGTAGAGCTTTTAGATATCTACATCAGCTTTTGAATGAAAATATTACAGCTGTGTCTACATAAGCCGTTCCCCAACATGCTATTATAGTATATACATTATTTTCGCCACCTCTGGGCATTCACTCAAGTATACATACATATATATATATATAAATTTTTTTCCATACACCCTTATATGCCCTTCACAATTTTGCTGTCGGGGTTTTATGTCAGAGCAGTTTTCGCGCTGGGGTTTTTTATACAAGTATACTCGTATATTCGGGGCGCTGCCATGACGCAGTAACCTGAGTCGAGTCGTCCTCGTCCTCGACGCTTTTTACTGCACTGATGTTGCTTCTTCAGCTCGTTCGTTGGCATTACCTTCTTCACACTATACCCCTTGCCTCGTTGCGACTCTAGCACTCTTACACTCGTAGGTTTTCTACGTGTTATAGTTGCTTGGGTCGTCTGTCGGCGTCTGATGTCGGTCGGAAATCCTTGAAAGTCCTGCCGCTGAGGAGGGTTGCGCGCCGGTAGCAACAACGTAAAATGAAACTTTGCTACTACCAACGAGGATGATGGCGACGTCCATGAAATGCTTCTAGCTATATGGACGTTGTAGAGGAAGTATGTTTGAGTATGTGAGTAGCCTGTGTGTATGTGGTTGGTGAAAACACGCACACACCGCACACACCTTACTCTACACCCACAAGAACGTGAACCCATCATTCCCTCTCCGGAATGCTGCTGTTCCGCCCGCTGGCGCCACAGGCAGCAGGAGGTTATTCGACCCATCTGAAATTGATGAAGCACCTACAGCTCTTTACTCCACGCACATCGAGCATCGTTCATCCCCATCGCGTCTCGACAGCGCTTCAGGTCATTTAATTATACCCTGCAGCCAAAGAGTACTTTCAAATCGTTTTATTGTATGTTACTGTCAAATAGAGGTGTGTAAAACTTCTCAAGACCAGTTATGTTAGACATATGTACATGTTTGACCGTTTGCTCCCCCTCCCCTCTGTTCGTAAGAAGCTTGAAAAAACCCAACTCATTTGAAGAGTTTACTGAATCCCCAGTTATATACAGGGTCACGAGCATAGTGATGATCCGTTAGTCCGTTCAGCACGGAGTATAAAGCCCTCCGAACTCTGTACCACGTAATCACAATTTATAGGTTGGGATATTTTTTTAAGGAACCAACCAACCAACCTAAGGATCCCAGAAAATGACAATTCCGAACCTAGACTACATACTAATGATATATGTTTACCGCTAAATAAGATACGAATTTGTAGTTTCAGAATAAAATTCAAAGTTTGTTAGGGGCGTTTTCAATTTTTGAATCCCCATCCAAATTTTCACTCTTTTTTACAGAGTTTTTTTTTTCGAAAGAATGTTGTTTGGGGTTGTACATAGAGTATATAAGAGTCTGGCGCGGACAATCGTGTCTGCGGAATTTTTTGCGATGTTGTGAGGAGCGAATAAAGTTTTATAGAGGGTGGACGTAAAGTCTATGCGCTGATTGTCTGTTTGATGTCGCTCGATACGAGCGATTGTTGACCTGGTGGGGGAATTTTATCGTAGCATCGTATATTATGTAAGTTGAGCATATACATATATCTCGTTGGTGTAACTGAGATAGATATACTACATATATTTATAAATGAATTTAAATAAATAATCATGTCGCTATAAATATTTTTTTAAATGAACTCTGAGGTGGAAAATCCTTTTAATTTTTTTGTGAGCTTATACATATGCGTATTTCATTTATAATTCAATATGTATATGTTATGTGCCGATTTGTTTTTGTATTCATGTACATTTAATACATACTAGCGTATCTGGCTTGCGTTGCTGTGCCGCTGAATTGTAGGCTTTTTAAGCTTTCCGGCGACACATCTTTCCCAATACCTCCTTCGCTTCTCATGGCTTCGATTAGTTCCAACTATAATAGATGAGTACTCCGCCGTCCAACTTTCTTCGTCTGTACAAAGGATATCATTGCCTTTTGTTTGTGTTTCTTGGGTTAGCTGTGCATGTCCTTTCGCACATTGTCCAAGCCGCGACTCCCGTACTTGTTTGGTTTTTATGGCTCTAGATGTGGATGCCCTTTCGCAAAAATCTTGCAATCGTGATTCAGCTGCTCTTTTTTCACTGATCTATTTTGATTTTGTGGTTTTTTTTACCAATAGATGATTTTTTGGTGATTTTTTTTGTATTCGATTTTACAGTTTTATTTATTTGCGAATGAAATACTGAAAAACAAAAAGTACAGAGTGACTGTCAAACAAATGAAAATGAGTAGAAATAAACCAGAAATCGGCACGAAACTCTCCAGGTGCACCCACTGGACTATTTTGAATATTGCAATAAATTTTAATCAAATTCGGTTGAGTGGTTTCGGAGTCTATAGCGAATATACATAGATATATACATACATACAGAAATACTTCCATATTTATAGATATACTCATTCAATTGGTTTATGTAAAAATTTCTGAGCTTAATTTATTTTGTTTTCCTATTGACCTTAATAATATATGTGTTATATCCTTATCATTGAACGAATTTTGAAGCTTTTGTATTTTTGAGGGCGTTTCACATCGAGATGTTCTTGAGATGCTCTTGCTCCCGTTTGAGATCAACGCGCTTACGATTGTGATCCTCGTCCTCATCATCTTTAATTTCCATCAATTCTTTGGGCGACTCAATGGGTATGCATCATCTTCTTCTATCGCAGTGATTTGGAATTCTGTTGGGTTGTAAATACGAAAATTGTGACAAGGCAATTATAACACAATATCAGTCATCAATCGGTTCGCTTGTGTATTTAGGAGTCTTGCATGATACAAACTTCCAAGCTGAAGACGTCGCTGCAACAAGACATCTATTTAGATGTCTTTCCACCACGGCTAATTTCGCTATCACATACATCAATTAAACGACGCAAACTGAGCAAACGACTAGTCAGACCGAAAGACCGTATAGTTGTCACGAATTTTTCCTTGGAGGGGGTGGTCGCGTTGAGCAGCACAGAAGCAGAGTAGATTGCTTTATCTACAGCTTCAAAAGAATCTGTGTATCTCCGCCGGTTACTTTCCGAGGTATTCACTTAATTGACTTTTAACAACATTTGTGCACAGCGCAGTGCTCGAAATCGTTTTATCGTAACAATATTACAAGGTACTTTAAATAATTCATTTCATATTATATTTAACACGATAGTTTTATAACTCAGTGGGAACTGTGATGGTTTTTTCAACATTGGGCTTATTCTATACAAGTATATGATAAATATAAATGTTTAATATAACCAAAATGACAAGTAGATTTTCATATATTCTCGTACATACATATGTTACATTCATTCTTATATATAGGGTATATCACAAAATTACTCTATAAATGTAAGTAGGAAAATATATCTTCCGTATATACGGGTAAATTTTCAAGTCTTCGCCAATCTTGATTCTTATTTAAATCTGGTTTTTAGACAGAACTATATCAGTTTTATAGTTTTTATTTCAAGACCTTATTCAATTGGCGTTTGTACAAATTTCTGACTTTAAATTATTTTGTTTTTCTTTTGGCCTTAAAAATATATTTTTTATTATATTAGGTTTATCGTTTTCTTCACTGTACACAATTTTTAACATCAAGGTACGGACGCCTTCTTTTGCGCCGCACTCTCGAACATTTTTTCAAGTTGTATCAACAAACCAATGGCACGATAATTTTCCTCCATCAAGGCAAAATCCTCTATTGGTCTTAGCAGGCGTATTGCGTCCGCATAGCTCCGCACCTGGCGAGGGAATTCAGCATCCTCGCTCTTCTCACAACTATTTTTAGGGCTAGGTGCAAGGTAATCCTCCTCATTGAACGAATTTGGAAGCTTTTTTATTTTTGAGGGCGTTTCACATTGAGATTGTTTCTCTTGCTCCCGTTTCAGAGCAACGCTCTTAGATGGTGTATGATTGTGATTGTGATCCTCGTCCTCATCATCTTTAATTTCAATCAATTCTGTGGGCGACTCAATGGCTATGCAATCATCGTCATCTTCTTCTATCACAGTGACTTGGCATTCTGGCTTGGGTTCTACGAATGGTATGTGAACGAGACGATTGTTTGCTTCCTTTGGAGTTAATGTAACGTTCCCAAGGGGCTGATCGCGCTGCTCATGCCGACCACAGTAACTCACAATGTCACGTAGGTCTAGGGACAATGGCACACGTCGAGTCGTTACGGGAACTCCCTGTGAGAAGTTGAAATTGTAGTGGCTCTTAAAATGATTGAACCATATTCTGTCTGGAAAGAAATTCTCGATCTTTAGAATGTCACGTAAACTGATAGCGACCGATCGCAAATTGTCCAAGTCGAGACGTCCCTTATGATGGAACTGGGAACGTTGTATATACTCATAGAGAGCTTTTTCGAGAAAGCTAATTTTGCGCTTACGACGCTGCTGCACCTCCTCGAGTGTGGCTTGATTGGCAGATGATATATCTACTTGGGTTTTGGCACGATAGAGCGATCGCGTGGTTGCTGAGGTCGCTGGCGGTGATTCCGGACTTTTTAGTCCGCCAGGTATATTGGCATGCAATGGAGCTTCAATCGTTTCCTCGGCCTTGTGATCGCTATTCGTATTTCTGCCGCAATAGGACATAATATCGCGTAGATCCATCGATCGTGGGGGTTTTCGTGTTATAGTTATCTGTCGATTGGACAAAGTTATGTTGAATTCCGCTTTGAAATGATTGATCCATGACTTGTTTGGCACAAAGTTTTCAATTCGCATCAGCTCCCGAAACTCCAGTGCCTTTGTGCGTATCAAGTCCTCATTTATTTCCGAGTGCAAATAATACTGGGCTCGTTGTATATATTCATACAGGCAACGGTTCAAAAAGTTGAGTTTGCGTTTGCGCAGCTCCTCGCCCTTGGCACTCAATGGCTGTTTGGAGCGACGCGTTGCCTCAAAGAACTCCATAATGGGCTCCCGATTGGCGACAATGCCCTTAATTTGCTCCCAGCTGCAGTTGAAGTTCTTGGCTATTTTACTATACATGGGTATTATGTCGTACTGCTTTATGGCCGCCACCCGTTCTTCCAGCGTCAGTACATTTCGTATGCGCTGCTGTTGGCTGCCATCATAGCTTCGTACGCGCTGTTGCGAGCTTGTACTGCTGTCGTCCTGCAAAAATTGTGGGTGGATACAAACATATTTACATATATACATATGTGCACTGTTGTGCGGGTGGGTACATACGTCAGACATTGCGCTTACGCACACACCACTTGTGCCAGTGGAGCACTCTCCGCCTCTCTTTCACTCTCACCCTCACTTGCTACTCTCTTGATCGCACGATTACGATGCTCGCGTTTTTTTGGTGAATGGCAATGCCTGTGAAAAAAGGAAAAAAGTCTTTTTAAATGTAACGCAAAACATTTCTGTACTTATCCATATTGAAGTGTGAAATAAAATTAAATTTATGTTTATCATACTTCAGCTATGGCCTTGCGGGGTTTCGCTTCCGTTTTCTACAAATCTGCTGCAGTTTTTTAGGCACACAAACACACAAAACGTTTCAAGCAGCGCCCGCTCGGTGCTGACGAGCGCACGTTGTAGCCATAAGCAAGACTGCCTGAGCAAAAAGTTGTAGCAGCAATTTTGTGAAATTAACTTGGAAAACCTGTTTGGCGAGTTATGCGAGCGCGATTGGGGAGAGAATGCGCTCTGCGATCGTTAAGAAACGGAGCGCAATTCTCTCATTTCTTTCTTTGTCGCTATTTTTAGTACCGCCTTTCAATAGCACATACAATCTAGACCCCGATACAGCAAACGAAAGCTACCCAATCATGCATACATATGTATGTATGTATGTACATACATATACATATGTACATGTCAATATCCAGCAGCAATATTGAGGGCCCTCGATGTACTATAAATGACGTGTATATAAATATATATATATATAGTTAGTTAGTTAGTTGATTATATTTCTAATTCGCGGTCTAGGCTTGTTTCTGTAGTGAACTCTTAAAAATCACTGCAACAACCAATAAAGCTGCTACTTTAGGTAGATAATGGGCTGGGATTACGTGTGAAATCGTAATATGTGACATTACAAAACTTAAAAGAGGCCGCCGTATTTATCAACAAAAATTGTCTAAAACTTTGTCTAAATTGTCTAAAGTTCTGTGGATCAATTTGTATGAATATGTCGTTCCTATGTGGCTTATAACAAATCTGACATGGGGATGAAGAAAAAAGACTATTTTAAGTTCAGATCTCTAGCTGGTACGACTGGAAAGGTCCCTGTTCATGCATCGAATTATATGGAGATTAGTCTGATCTGCTCCAATCTTAATAGAGATTAACAAAAAAAAAACAAAATAATGTATAAATAACTGTACATATGGATACTAAGGATCCAAAGGCGACTAATGACTAAATAAATATTTAAATGTTCTATATAAGACTGTTAATCTTACGTTTTTGTTTATATTTCATGCGTAGTGTCATAATTACAATCCAAAGGAAATAAACTCTAAACTAGTTATTAACATTACTACTTTTGTTTTTTAACCAAACTTGATTAACAAGAAGTAACGTCATATTAACTGCTAATATATTTTTTGATTGTTGTATAGCAGGTTTCCGCAAACTTGTAGCTATAATTCAGCTGCCTTGACTGCGGTCCAAGCCAAGTCTTAATCCATGAAATTGACAAAATCATTCCTGGTTCATCTTGCTAATGGAAGATGTCGCTGTACTTGTTCAGCATTTTTCGTCTTGAATATCATTGTAGATAGTATCCCGAGTGCGTACTTCCTGTGCTGAAATAGTAATGTAATTACTGAATTATCCTGCCGTGTGCTGAGATTTTCTTACCAAAACCAGAGTGGAGTTACATTTAAGTATTAATTCTGCTTTGCGTTTCACAAGATTGTTATGCTTGTCTATGAACTTTGGTACTTTTGGCAATAATTTCACGGGTGTTCTCATCTGTTGAATTGGTAGCGCAGGTCCTCAAGCTTAATATTATTCGCTTTTAAATTACGATGTAGCTTCCCTATCTCGTATTTTAGATTAGGAGATAGCTGCTTTTATTATATAACACGCCTCGACGCGGAATATTTAAATTAAATACAGTGCCTTATGTATAAACAATCGGGAAGAAATTCTGTAACACTGTAATAAAAACTGCTAGTATGGGTAAACAAGCATAACATACAGGGTTGCCATACAGTTGACAGTAATTACATTTTAGAAATGTTTCTTATTCAATGTTAATGTTGCTCTTCGACTTTTAATGCTCAATAATTACATTAGTTTAAAAAGTTTGTGTCTATTTGGAAAAATTATTATCACTTAAAAGTATATTTAAAATTTACATAGGAATGAAAATGCCATGTTGATTTTGTTGTTGGTTTTTGACAAAATTTGTACACCCCAATCAGTAAAGTTCAGTTACATATGTATGTATGTATGCATATATTTCGTCATATAGTAAAAAGTACCAATTTTATTTATTGAATGCAAAATGGAACGATTTTATTTATTAATAAATTTATAAATTACATGTTTCGGCTTAAACAAGTTGAGAATTGGCAGCAAAAATTTTCAACGATGATTTGTGCAGTGTTCCGAAAATATTTGTTGGTCGTTCCAGCTTTTATAGTTTCTTAGATCCTTTCATTCATCCACACGGATGGACGGACATGTCTAGATCGATTTCTCTCGTCATGCTGATTAATGTGGTCGGAGATGCTTCCACCTGCATGTTACATACTTTGCACAAACCTAATATACCCTTCTTACCCTATGGGTACAGGGTATAAAAATCGACTCGTTTTCGAATTAAACTATGAGATTTTATTGAAAATTCTGACTTATAGTACATTTTCTATACAATGCAGGTACTTTAACATTGTTAGTCGTCCCGATTTTTTGGCATAAGTAATCAGTTTCTGCAAATGCGAGTTTGCCTGCTCACTGGAAATTATGCTATACTGATTGGTGCGTGGGAAAGAGGTTGTTGGCACCTCCGAGAGGCTGTTGATAACCAAAGGGTTATCGGCAATAACGTCGGTGAAAGTAGGTTCTTCCTTTATGAACTCTTCAAACTCGATCCAGTCTATTTGGCTTTTATCACTGTCTTTATTGACAGTTGCACATTCATCAACCTCTGGTAGTGTGGGTTCATTTTGTTTTTGTATTTCTTGACTAGCATCCATATCCAATGGTTCCTCCTTAATTATTTCATCATAGGTCACAATATTTTGCTCTTCAAAATCTTCGTCAATATCTAAAGGTTCTTGTTTTACAAGAATAGTGTCATCGTCGATTTCGTCAATAGCTCTCCTTGTAGAACACTTCAATTCTTGTACTGATTTGCTGATAGATGTGTTGGGGGATGGACTGTGCATCCTCCAATTAAGTAAATGGTTCTTCTTTTCTGCTACCTCCTCTGTTAGACAGAGGTCAACAATGTAATACAGATCTAAATCGGTAATCGTAGCGTAATATACATTTTGGTTTGTATTCACACCTTGTCTCAGAAATGATAGATACTTTCGTAGCCAATCTAAGATTTGTTTGAATCGAACATCCAGTATTTCACACAGTCGCATTGCACAAGTCGGTACAGCTTGCACATACGTAATATTTTCTGTACTGTGCTCCTGTTGAACAATGTCGACATATTTAGCAATTGCAGTTTGTATCAATTCAACCACGTGTGCGGTTTGAAAACTTTCTATCATATCTCTGGTGATTTCTTTACTCAATGGATGTTCATATTTTTCATACTGCCTGTCCTTTGTAGCCCTTATTATTTCTGCCCACTCGAATTGTTCGTCAAGGAACATGTTTTGATCGTTGGGTAGTGGAAAATCATCAAACGATTTAAACTTATACAATGTTTTGAAATTTTCGAGCCATTTGAGATTCGGCACAAAGCAATGTAGATCCAAACACGCATTCACTTTTGCTGCATTTTCTAAAAACAAATCATCTGACATCCCATCTAGAAAATTATCCACTGTTCGCATGTGCTGCAGGTGGCCATACATGACGTTGTTCAGGTGCTCAAATTTTTTTTGATCCGCTGGATCGACTATTAGATATTTTGCTATACGATTTTGTTGTTGGCGTAGGTACGAATGCTGAATTATTGTTTTACTGTCGTTAATGTCTTCTATGTTTTGCATCGAGCATCTGAATATTTCGGCTACCTGCTCTTTAGTCTGTGTGCGTAGAGCTCGCAATATATTGATGCTATCCAAAATGCTAAGTTTTCTGTTCACATCTTGAATTTCATTAGTAACGGACTGCGGAATTATTTGAGATATATTGACACAATCAACTTGTTTATGTTTATATGCATCCTTACCTGGTCATGTTGACTAAGTCGTCTCTTCTTAGCGGAAAGCCGGTCGGTGGCCACATATCTGCGCTTCTCCGCGGTGGATTCAGATGGCGTTGCCATTTTTCTTTCTGGAATGTTAAAATAAAAAGGTGTATTAAGGTGACACGCGATAAGAATGATTAATGTTGAGCTATTTTTTTTTAGACTGTTGTGGTTTTGATTACGCAGCAAGGATTGTTGGCTAATGTTTACATATTTGTGCAGTTTTAAATTTATGAAAGTCTGAATATAGCATGCCATTACCAATATGTCCATCTGTATCACGAAGTGGTGGAGCTAAAGTGCTTGTTGATGGTTCATTCACTTGATTATTCATGTTGTCTGCTAAACTCGCTTGTAATAATTTAACTTTTCTGCGCATTCTACTGTCTCTTTCAATTTCAGTTCTAGTTTTTCTTCGTTTTTTTATTTGATCCGTCCCAAGCCTTGCTTTTTGTCTCTCACGCCATGCTCTGACCCTTTCAGCGCCTGACTTTGGCATATTCAACACAAATTCTCAACAACATATCCAAGCAAAAAGGTAGAGATGTGCGATATACACCGATGTTCAACAATACAGCGATATTTGCTTGCGATATATCGAGCTGGTGCGATGTGTTGAATATTTTGGTGTCGACGCATACTATCGATGTAATTGAATCGGTCGAAAAAAATGTTTTGTGTCTATGTAAACAAGAATTTTATATGCGTATGTCGCATCTGCGACAGGTGAAATGTGAGGCGTTTTTATAGTTCCTATATACATACGTATATATGTATGTAAAAGATTATTGAATTTATAGAATCGTGGCCGTGTCATTCACTAGCCAACAAGTCTGTTGAGTGATTGTCACGCAGCCTGGCCCAGCAGCTGCCTGTCTGTCTTACCACGGACATCCGTAGCAGATGAGAACCCCTTACTCCTTTCAGTCCAGCTTTCAAGAGCCTCATATAAACGGTTTCACATTTAACAACAACGGCTGCAACTTATAAACAAATAATCAGAATATGCAGAAATGACACTCCACGCAATTAACATACATATGTTTGTGTTGGTGGTGTTGCCAGAAAGAGAAATATGGAAACATGTTCAATACATTTATTTACATATATATGTATGTACGTATGTAATATACGTAAATATTTGGATTTAAGTCTGGTTTTCTTTAAAAGTATTTGGCTTGCATCCTTAGGGCGAGGATATCATCAATTACCAAGTAAATCTTTTAATTTAATTCTACATTAACGTTATTTTTTTTTATTTACACAGTAACATCGTGTTCTTGATAAGAATTTGTATTTTTTAATGCTTTCTCCGCTTGCATTAGAAGTCCAGTTGCGCGGAAGTTTTGTTGGAGCATTGCATATTCTTGCAATGCTTGCATACAATTGGCGGCATCTCTAGCGGTCTCGATTTCGTTTTGTTGTGTGGCAATGATATCTCGATCAGGTGGCCGGTGTGTTTTAAAAGTTGTTATATCTAGGATCTGTTTAATTGTTAAAAACATATTTTTTAGTATAGGGTTTCTATCAGGATAAAACAGTCCAATCATATACGTTGTTATTGTTTGTTCAATAGTTAAAAAAAACAAACATATCTGTAACTATTAAGTTGCCAGCTGGGTAATAGTAGACCTACCTCATTATTTTTGTTTGTTACCAAAAGAAGATTAAGTTGATCTCTAAGATTTTCCATTTTCTTCTTCTCAAGCACCAGAGTATACATTTTGTCAAGGAGAATTTGACGCTCAGGAATACATTTCTCATTCCTCATTCTCTCACGCATTTCGTCTAAATCTTTACATTTCTGTTCCAAAATGGTATTTATTTTCTCAATCCTCCTAGCAGTTGCACAGTCCTTTTTGATATCAACCGTTTCTTGTACATCTGGCTCGGAAATCTCAGCAATCTCTGCGATCTGTTTGATAGTTTAAAAAGACATATTTTGAACTATTAGGTGGATGGATAATATAATACACACCTTATCTTTTTGGATCGCTTTTAAACGAAAATTAAGTTTATCTCTAAGATCTTCTATTTTCTTCTTCTCAAGCACCAGATCATACATTTTCTCAACGAGAATTTTCCGTTCAGAAGTACATTTCTCTTGCCTCATTCTGTCACGCATTTTGTGTAAGTTTTTACATTTCTGTTCCAAAACCGTATTTACTTGCTTAATTCTCATAACAAATGGGCTTCTCTTTTTTACATTTGTCGCTTCTATCACATCTGGCTCGGAAATCTGTTTTAAAGGTATTTTAGCAGTTATGGAGTAGACTAAGAAGAATAATATATTCTTACCGTAGGGTCTCTCATAGAACGTAAATGAAGGCGTAGCTTTTCTCTGCCTTTTAACAATTTCTGTTGTTCAAGCACATTTTTATACATTTTGTCCAGAAGGGCCTTTCGCTCTGGAGCAATCGTTGCCTGTTGCATTTTAGCACGCATTGATTGCAATGTTTGACGTCTCTTTTCCAAAACTAGGTTTATTTTCCTTATGTTCCAGTTAATTTTTTGCACTATCGACATAATGCTGGAAATGTGTTGTGCTGTTACTGCAGATTAAACAGAATAGTGCACATAAATCTTTAACTGCAGGATATATATGTGCAAATTTAATATTTAGATGACTGGTGTTTGTAAGGGCTCCAACAATATTTTTGGATGGCAGCCCTAAAACAGTGTTGGTCAGTGCTCTGTAGGGGAAAAAGGATTTTATACGTTTCTCTTAAAATAAAAAACAATTTAAAGAAAAAATTTCATCGTATCATTGGGTTTTAGTTAGATAGTCTAATATCAATTTTAATTGAAAAAACTTAATTTTCAGAAATTCAATGTATATACCTTAACTGGTAGTTTTGTTTAATTTTATTGCAAATTTCAGTTATGTGCGATATTTGTATATCAATGTGCCGAACTGCCACTAGTCGTTTGATTAAGTTGTTGACCAGAAATCAAAATTTGGGAACATGGTTATTTGTTTATTTCCATTATAAGCACAGAATTAAATACTTTTATGTTGTGTGTACCTCGTTGCTTTTTATTTTGCCCTTATCAATTAGTCTTCCGATTTTACACTAAATGATTTTAATTCTACGCTAACATTAATTTTTTTTACTGCGCCGTGTCATCTCCATCATGGTTGGATTTATAATGCCTTCTCCATTTGCATTAGCAGTCCAGTGTTTTGTTGGAGATCCGCTAAAAGAACAATTTATCTTTAAAAGTCTTCCCTGTGATTGGTACGATAGTGTAGGCTAGGCTTTTAAGTTTTATTAAGCTTTAATTTGGTGTAACGATACTAAATGCAACAATCTAATGGGTAAACTATTGAGAGTCCCTATTTTATTAACAGTTTTTTCAAACTTTGTAAACTTCTCAGCATACCAAGTTGCTGTCATATCTTTCGCTTGATTCGCATTCATAACGTACTCGTATAGATCTGTAACCAATCTGATATTTGTGGAAATCGAACATCCAATATTTCACATAATCAGACTGCACAAAGAGGAATTGCACGACTATATCTTATATTCGAGGCACCTTAGTCATTTGTTAAAATTTTAACAAAATTAGTGAGTACTTATGCTTTCCATAATCTCTTTAGCATTATGTTGGTGAACATTTTGCTGGATTTATTTCGATATATATATATATACTATACTGCTTATTCTTGGTAGCGTAATTTCGGCCCATTCGTACTGGTTCCCAGTAAAGCTTTCCTGTTGTCGCGGCAGTGGTAAATTAGTAAATCTTTTGAACCTATACAATGATTTCAAATGGTCGAGCCAATCGCGATTGGGCAGAAAGTCAGGAAGGTTCAAAAATGCATTCACTCTTGCTGTTTATTCTAAAAACGACTCCTCGGATATCTCAAAGAAAATTTTCCTCTTCTCGAATCAAATTTTTCAGCATTTAATCGTTTTCAAAAAAATGGCGACTCGATTCTGTTGTTATCGCAGGTAGGACCGACTAATGACTGTTATGCGCGACTTCAGCTATGTTCTTCACGGAACATTTGTAAATCCTTCCAACCTCTTCTAGAGTCCGTTTGCGTAGAGCACGCAAAAGATTGACGGTGTCAAAAATGTTGAGTGCAGGATTTCCGTCTTTTTGACACAACATCGAATTGATATTCGGAGCTCTAAGGAGTAAAACAATAAAGTTTAAACATACATATGTATTTATTTTCATGATGGAATATCCTTACCTCGTTTGTTGGTCTTTTCTTAATTGGTATTTGGTGAACCGTTTTCTGTAATTCATCCAATTTGGCGCCGCCCCCGTTTCAGGTGCCATTTTTAATGAAAATGTAATAGCACTTTTATTATTGAAAAATAAACAAAATAATGTTTTTCAAACAAAAGTAAATATATGCTTCTACTTACAGGAGGGCTGCCACTCTTTGTTCGATAAGGTTTGGACAATATAGCCAGATGGTAAGTGCCGGCAATTAATAAATACATACATATGTTTATTGTTTTTGTTTACAATCTTTCAGTCCCTTAAATATAGTTTTTATCAGAAAACTCTTATACCTACTGTTGCTTTATTGAAGTCTCTTAATCTATATTTTCATCACGGAATGCATTTTGTGCTTTAGTTAGCAGCGCTGTAGCTCGATAGTTTTGCTGAAGTACTGCGTATTCCAGCAGTTCTTTTAGGCATTTCCCTGCATCTTTTTCATTCTCAATATTGCCCGTTTGATGGGCGTCTTCATTGACGTTGCTTTTGTTTGACAGTATAAGCTTATCGATCTGTATAAAGAAAACATGTACATGCCAGTGATCTGATAGTTTTCATTGATTTGCTTTCTCAACTTACATGATTGTTTCTAATCGAATTCAATTGGCGTCGTATGATTTCTCTAACTACCACCAGTCTTCGCTGTTCCAGCACAATTTTGTTCATATTTTCCAGCAGGGGCTTGCGATCAATTGCTTGTAAAAGTTGCATTTGTTGCCGTAATTCTTCCACTTGAACTCGATTCTTTTCTAAACTAGAGTTAACTTTCGTCAGCATTTCATATGCATTTTTTAGATTTGTCGTCATTATACTAAAAGGAATAAATAAGAATATGCACAATTATATTGTCTATCCGTGCGGTTCTTGCTCTTCTGTTGACAAGTGCGTGAGTGCTAGCTGCGGAAAACAGCTGGCTTATTAGGCAGCCCTACGTAAGTGTTAGTAAATTTGTAAATGAGAAATATAAACTACGATGCAGTTTAATCAAATTTAAAGATTGTTTGACAGATGAGTTCCACACTTTTTGATAAATTCTAATTAAGTAGACATATCGCATTTTTTCTGTGAATACTTGGCAGACTCTTTTCACTTTGTTTGTGAATCTAATATTGTGTGTTCATTCCCCATCATAATTTTCACAAGGGAATTGGTTGTTAGTAGGAAATCTTTGGAAGAATGCAACAATCAAAACAGCATAGCAGTACATATAATTTCAATTTTTTTGCGTGTCGAACGTCTCTTTTTTCACCAATAATCTACATTTCTAGTATGTAAGTATGTACTTCAGCTATGTTGTTAGTTTCGTAGCATTGAGGTTTTGTGCTAACTTACCTTTCGCTACTCCACTACAGATGGCGCTAGTAAATACTTATGATTTTTGGCTCTTGAAACCAATCGAGCGTTTACTGAATTTAATTTCCGTTTCGGCCCAAATATATGTGCATATATTAACCACCTGCGTTACTGGAATGTGTGAAAATTGTTTGGTTAGCTAACTAACCGACCTCTCAAGCTGAAGCAACGATCGCGAACCCATTCAGCCAATCTTGCGCAGTTCCGTTTACAAACGACAACAACCGTGAAAACTTTAAATTATCTAGGGCTCTAACCCCATTTGAAGGTGCGCATGCGTAGGAGAAGCGACAGGAAGTCTTATTATCTATGTATGTATATATGTGTGTAGTTGCATGCAAAACCCAGAAGTGACGTTGCACCTTTCTGACGCCGCAGCGGACCGCAACGGACTACGGATGTGCAGTCAAGGTGTTAGCCTGCGTGGGGGGTTGAATTCTACATATGCATATAGATATATATGTGTGTGTATATAATATTTAGAATAGTCTGCTAAGACTCCGGGTAAGGGTCAACATTTAAACCAGAACCGAATAATTGTTGCACAACAAGCGGTCCCAGAGTCACGCCAGTGATTTTCCCACGAATCGGAGACAAATTGTAGCCCCGGAGTTGAGGGAAATAATATGTCTTAGCTATTTCCCATTTTATGCCATTATGTCATTTAAAATAATTTGATTTTCTTCATATCCGCTTCAATGTTCAACTACAAAGCAAATTACGAGTTAAGTTTATTCAAAACTGAACAATTCGCCTACTAGAGGCGAAGATTCTAAAAGAAATCATAGATGGTAGAGGAAGAAAATATAAATTAAACGTCGACTACTACTGCTAAAGCTGCGGAGTAAGGTCGCGAAGCAATGACTACGAATGACTTCTGCCAAGCCTTTTGACTTACCAAATAAAATAAGGGATTTGGGAAACTAGATCCTAAAATGAGTAAAATCGGGGCCAATATATATGAAAACAAAAATATACTTATATCAGTTTATAGTCGACCAACAATCACTACAAATTTAAACACATTTTGGTTATGGTGAACATGGAATGGAAATGGAGGAAATGCTAACGGACGCAAGGTATTTAGCAATTCTTCATATTTTGCCGATTCAGACCAATTTTAGCCAATTTTGCATGTCTGACCACACCCTTTGCCAGGGAATAATTGCACACAATTTCTATATACAAATGTATGTACATATGTGATCCAGCTTATGTTATTATTGCCAAAAAAAAAAAAAATAATCGACGATAGATCTAACTAGTTATGACTTCTTATGGCCTGCTTGAATACTTTACTGCTTTTGTGTACAAATTATTTGCCTGTCTGGCCGTATCAAAAATATAAGAGCACCATTATTAACAAGCCTAGGAAGTTCAGCCTGTACTGGCCTTTACCAGCCCTTTAAGTCATAATATTTGAATCATACTTTTTGAAATTTAGAATTAGCTTTAAATTAGCTTGTTCAAGAATCTCTTCCCATAATTAATTCTATATGCTTCTGTTGAGTTGGATCGACTCTCCGATTTCGTGTTTTAACTCAAATCTAGTTTACTTATTTTCTTAAAACCGACTAATTTGGCACCTGAAAACCCAAAGCGAATATAAATACATTGACATTGGCTTAAAACTATTTATTTTAAAGACAATACGAGTATTTACATAATATATCCGAATTGAGTTCGCACAGCGAAATAGACATTTGATTATTAATATTATTATTATTAGCGAAATAGAAATTTGATTATTAATATTATTATTATGGTTTATTTTTCAGTGGCCTTTCGTTTGTTTGCCGCAGATCAGCATCAGCTAACGGAAATAATCATGTTGTGCTGCCTGAAAATACAGAAGATTGGTAAGCATAGGCGCACATATTTCCATAGTTTCGATACTCATGTACCTCTGCCGCGCTAAGACGATTCTTAGGATTGTAGACAACCAGATTGGAGACTAGATTTATTTCCACAGCATGTGTACAGCTGGGAAACAGATTTTCCCAATTGATGCCCACAGAGTTAGGGAATCTATTGCATGGAAAGTTCATGATCATGATCAATTGATTAGCTAAAGAATATTTTGTAAAAACGTACCCTATTTTGTTATAATCGGGCAATGAAGTCAAATCGGGCCACTCATTCAAACGGGGACTGCCTAGGGTGCGAATTATAATCGCCAACTGTTCGATGTCGGTGGTGCCTGCAAAGAGCGGCACTCCGCGCAACATTTCGGCAACCACACAGCCCGCAGCCCACATATCCATGCCGGGGCCGTACTTCTGACTCCCCCAAAGTATTTCCGGGGCTCGATACCAGCGCGTGGAGACCTGGGGTGAATAGAGTCGCGATTCTTCGTCAGGAAAGTGAAGGCGGGCGAGTCCGAAATCGGCTATCTTCAGCACGTCCGTGTCGCTGATCAACAAGTTGGCGGGCTTTATATCCCGATGCATAATGCCGGCCTCATGCAGATAGGCAATACCCTTGAGCATCATTAGTGCGAAATTACGCACCTGTTGGCGACTCAGCGGATTCGCCTCGCTCTTGAGACGCCCATAAAGCGTATCGGGCATATATTCCAGCACCAATGACAGGCCAATGAGATCTGGATATATGTCTAGAATGGCGAGTATCTGTGAACAACACAATTAGATGTCTTACATAAATATTAACATCCACCTACATATTCGTTTTTGCACAGCTGAAGCGTTTTTATTTCGCGCAGTGTATTCAATGAAATATTGCCAAATTTGTTTTTCAGCGCCACCTTTTTGATGGCCACCTCCTTGTTCCCCCGCTGCAAATCGAGGGCCTTGAACACGCAACCGTGCACGCCTTCACCGATTTTTTCCAACATTTTGTACCGACTCGGCGCATAGTCCTCCATATTAACAAAAGCGACTGGTGTTTTAATTTACAAATTTGTACATTTTACCCACGCGTTAGATTTTCATCATTTTCCTTTATTTTCCGTGCTTTGTTTTCCATGTGCTCCATGGCAACGGGCCACAACAACAACAGCTGTTCAAAACAAAAGAAATTTAAGTGAAGAATATTTCTGGGGATGTACCTATTTATGCAACTGTTGCTTTCCTTAATTCGATAACGATATACATATGTACATATTATACATTATGTTTTGAATTGGCCAGTTTTTCGAAAAATTGTTATAAAAAGCGCAGGTGAAACATTCTGCTTGTTAACTTTATAAAATGCTTTCCTCACATAAGAATAAAATATACATACATATGTAAATAGCTTTTACAGCCTGTTTGGACTATTGGGCTTAAGATGTTTTTCATTAAAGTTATAGGATATATTGTATATTGTAAGTTGTAGCGACTCTAGAATTTGCAAATTGCCGTTTCCGAAGAGAATAAACTAAGCCAATTGATTTTTAGTGATATATTTCTAACTTGTCCATATTTGTATAATGTTGCTAAATCCTTTATCCTCTTTATATGTTTTCAGGAACTATCGGTTGCACCACTGACAGAGTCAGAGCACCACGAGTCAGACGGCGCCCACTGGACTAAATTACTGCCTGCAGCAATGCCTCTTTATTTAAGTAAAACTACTTGTATGTACATACGTACATACCGATGATTACAATTTGTTAAAGTTCAATAAACAATAAATACATAAATATATGCGTATTATTAAGATTACATACCGCGATACAAAGCAGATCCATCCCATTACTATTTCAACGAGCCATCGCACTGCACTGCACAGTCGGACGAAAGCACACACGACCTGCCTGCCTGCCTGCCTATTCGAAAAGTTTGTTGCTTCCATACGAAAACACAAGCAGTGGTGGGCGATAATTCAGGCGAACATGAATCAATAGATAAGACTCTCTCTCAATAGTAAACAAAAACACGTGCCAAAACAAACAAGATAGAGTTTACAGTTGCTTTGCGTAGCGTCGTTTGTTTACAGTGAGGAGTTCGCACTGTATATGCATCTCTTTCGCACCCTTAGCTGGCATTAGGGCTGTTTGTTTACTCTCTGTTTTTATTAGTTTGCTTGCTATCAGTTATGTTCGCCTGGTATTCCACGTAAGTCGGACTTGCATTTCGTATGGAGTCGGGATCTAGTCCGAAATTTCAAACATCGCCAACTCCCATACAAAACAAGAGTCTGGTTTGGGGAAAATACCAGGCGAACATAATTTCCTAGTAAGCAAACAGGTGAGTAAAAAGTAACTGCAGGTGCGAAAGAGTGGGCTATATAGCGCACATTGCAGACACTATCGACATCTCTTTCGCACTTGCAGCGTATATTAAAAGGTTGCTTTCTGACTCAGTTGCTTGCTATGATTTCTGTTCGCCTGGTGTAGTACCCAGCTCAGACGCTCATTTTGTACGGAACTGGCGATTTTTGAAATCGCACTCGATTCCAGTCTTCCATACAAAATTCAATTCCAGCTTACGTGGCAGACCAGACGCACATAAATGGTAGCAAGCAAACCATCATAATCAGAAAGTAAACAGACAGCGCTGATACTAGCATTAGGTGCGAAAGAGATGCTTATATATGCATGGCGAATTGGCTACTGTAAACAAATGCGGTGGGCAGCAAACAACGCTAAGCAAAGCAACTGTAAATTTTGTTTTGTTTGTTTACGCACGCGTTTTTGTTTTCTATGGCGATACGACCTATTATGGACTCATGTTCGCCTGTTACGTCCCCAAGCCAGTCTTGTCTTTTGGTATGGAACTAAAAAAATGCAAAAATTGCATGAACGCTTCCAGTAATTTGAATGTACGAGTCTAATATGAAATATTCCAGAGGTTTTGAAAATCTTACTCATAGGAATTGGAATCATAATTTTGGGCAACATATGTCTACTCTCGAAGTTGACCCTTTTTTTCCTTTCCAACGATATACTTAATGCCAATACTGCATCTTGCAGGTAAAATATTGGCTAAATGATGTTGCGAATCGTTGTTGTTTTGATTTGCATTACTACGTGAATTCATTTTATGCATTATTTAATTCAAAATATGTCCTTTGCATTTGTAGTTCATTAGATTACGTTGCTTTTCAAACTAAATATTTTTAGGGTATTTTTCAATATTGGTGGAAAAAAGGTATCCTTTAGTAGTGTTTTCAAAAATATGTTCCCTATATATTCGTTTACATAACTTTAAAAACTTTCGTCCTTCTGGACCCGACTTTGGCTTCAAATGGGAATAAAGGAATGCATAGCGGTGCAATCTCTTTGACATTTTCCTGAATTGCAGTTCCTTTACTAAAGCATTTGAACAGACAAAAAGGAGCTTTATTTTGTTATCCTAGATGTATTAGTACTTTTTCATGTCGAAAACAGATTTTTAATTAAATACTTAGCTAAACAAACATCTCGTCTCTCATCGCATTTATGATGAAAATTCGTGTGGCATACTTTTAGGAGCAACATTAAGATGTGAACATAAAACGGTTACAGTTTAAAAGTGAGATTAAGAAAATAAAAAAGGGAAAACAATATATTGAAATAATAAATGTAAGAGGAATAAAAGTACATTTTCACACAACTTAAGATAACGTTTGAACTTTATGTTTGTTTATTTTTCTAAAAAAAAAACAACTAATTCAAGTCTAAAATTTTGACAATTCCCGGATTAGATAATTGTGATTATAATTTTATTTGCGCATGGTTAAAATCCATTTTTATTTTGTAAATTTTTGAATTTTATTTTAGAATTTCTACAAACAAGCAGATGAATACGAGAATGAAGAGATTGGGCATAAAAACTATTAAGGTGTACAAAACATTAATAGACTTTGAATAAAATGTTCAATATTGAAGATAGGAAGATCCAAACATCAATTTCTAGTATTTTTTACGGTACAACATATATCAAAAAGATTTAAATTAGCGAAACTTTTTAATTAAAGTGTATTTGCTTTCTAATCTAGACAAATAATGATGTCAAATACAAACTTAAAAGTAAAATTAAATTAATCAGGACTTTAAGATTTGAGAGTAGTTCGATAAGATATTCATGTCGATACTTATTTGACAAAAATAAAAATGTCAAAATAAAAGGACGATAAATATTTAAAATAATACACAGCTGTTCTGAATTTAGTTAATTTTATACGTTTCTAGAACTGGCAGATGAGTTTAAGCTTTTAAGAAATATACTTTAAGTTTAATGAAATTTAGATTAAATTGTTTAATAAACAAAGGCGTCGAAACAGGTTCTCTTGGTTGCAGGATCCAACGTTCATGAAAATGTCACAGATTATCAGAAGGGATGCATTGTAGAGATGATCTTGATTGTGAAAGAGGTCGCCCAAATAGTCCGAATCTGTAAAAAAGAGTATTACAGTTAAATAATGTCGACATAAATGAAAACACAATGCAACGCAATACATATACATACAAGTACAATACACAATATTGGCAATATTGAAAAACTGTGGGAAAAGGCTGCATATATAAATCAGGATCTGCAGTTTTTGGAGTTTTATGAGTGCTACGCTTTCAAATGGCTTCATTAACTTGGCCAGCTGCGGGCTGCAGGCGGCTGAGGCCAGGAGGCTTCTGGCCAAAAATTGTTCGTCAGTTTTTGGTTGTCAGACAAACGCTGCTCCCACAATAATTTGCGCGCCAAAAATAACGCTCGGGCTCATGTTTGAAAATTGCTTTTCGTGCTGGCAGATTTAAATTCATTTCGTTTAAATGTGTGGCGGCGCTGCCTTTGGGCCATAAAGCGATTTATTGGCCAACTAAGCGAGCCACACGGGTGCCAGTGCCAAGACAACATCGAACCACAACAACAACAGCTACAGCAACATACAAGCAACTGCCGCCACTTGAAAAGTTCAACGCTCGTGGGTCACGACTTGGCTGACTGACTGGATAATGTTGGTACGAGTATTGGTAATGTTGGTGGGCCAAAAAAAAAGAGAAGCAGAAAATATAACTGCAGCACGCCAGCCATTTGAGTCGAGCAATAAATCGACAGAAACTGCTGCGATATTTTTTCTTTTGAACTTGACGGGCTGGAGCTGCTGCTGCTGCTGCCGCCGTTGCCTCTGAAACTAATCCTGATCCCTCCCCCTGTGCGCCAGCGCCCCGCCCGCCGCCGCCGCCGGCCCCTCTGCTCGCCTGCATGTCAATCAATTGACTTTTGTTGGTTTGTCGGCTGCAGAAAGTTGCCGGAAGTTGTGTCGTTCGTTATTTCGATATGCATTTGGGATATTTTCTTTTCGGCCACTGCGCACGTGCACAAAACTTTGCTCGCCTTCCATCAGTCAGTCAGTTATACAACTGACAGTTAGGCAGTTGGACAGTTCGTCAGCTCGTCAGTTTGTCAGTTTGTCAGTCGGGCTGTCAATGCAAGCCGAAAGCTTGTCGGGTGCCCCGACTTTGAAATACACTGTACATGTGTAGTATAAATTTAGAAATTAAAACAAATAAATAAATAAAACAAACTCGTATAGCGTAAACACATAAGGCATCTTTGTGCAAAATTTGGTGTCTCTAGCTCTTATAGTCTTGGAGATCTAGGGGATCATACAGACGGACGGACGGACGGACAGACAGACAGGGCTAGATCGACTCGTCTTGTCATCCTGATCAAAAATATATGCATTTTGTGGGATCTGCCACACCTCCTTCCGCCTGTTAAAATTTTCATCTCGCGCAAACCTAATATGTACAGGGTGCGCCATCTTTTATGTCGGTATGTAAACATTGAATATCTTTGAAAATAAACAAACAATAAACAAAATAAATAAACCGATTTTCAAGTATGAGATATTTTTATTTAATTTGATTCTGTACAATTTCTTGAACTGAGGTTTTCAAGTCAATCGGTTCACTAATGACAAAGTTATTCAATATTTACATAAAGACATAAAAGATGGCGCACCCTGTATACTCTTCTACATTTCATGAATAGACTATAATTATGGTCACTCTCTCTCTCCCTCTCTCTTTCTTTCTATTGAGATGCTTATGCTTTTGGCCTGGACGAATGGGATGTGGCCGGGAAGGGTCATTTATGTTCACAAGTTTATTACTAACTTTGTTTTGGGATTACGATAAATAGTAGCATTTAAAGCTGTGGCCAGACTGGCAAATAATTTGTACAAAATTCTAATTATTTCTATAAGTACGAATGTAATGTTTCTTCAATTCAAACCAATACTAAGATGGAGCTTTCGGATATGACAGTCTTTCGTGGCAGTTACTTTTCAATGCAAATTATTCTTTGAAGTTCTTTGAAGATTTCTTTGGGCATTTATTTATAACACTTTTATTTTATATTGACTTCTTAATTGATTTCTAAAATGTATTCATTATAATCGTATTGCTCCCTCTCTTCCCTCCCTCTATCCCTTTTTAATTATCTTTTTTTTTGCTCTCAGCTCTATGTATGATCGATGCAATTGGTCTGGGAACATGCATTGCTTGCCCATTTGCTATTTGTCAAATTTTCATTAGTTGGCCATAAATAGAAATCACCAGGCATTTATTTTGGCTAACAAACCAATAAATTGCAGGAGGCAGGCTGCCAGCCAGCCAGGCAGCCAGCTAGTCAGCCAGCCAGCCACATCGCACTGATTCTCACGACGAAGCCACCAACTTGAGCTGCAACTCCAAAACTTTCTAGTAGTTGTTCACACCAACTTTAGAGCGCGCAGCTGCCAACATTGTAGTTGTTGTTGTTGGTGATGTTGGTGTTGTTGTTGTTGTTGCAATCACCACCTGCACATACACATGAGTGTACGAGTAGAGTACGTCTGTCGCTGGCTAAAAGCGAATTCCAGTTGCAAACCCATTTTTGGCACGATCGAACTCTTGCCTTGCGATCTGTTGTCTCTTCCACAGATCACCGTCACCGGCCCCATCCGATCCGACGACCATTTAGGGAAGAAGCTACCTCCAGAAAGAGGGGGAGGGTGGGGGCTGGGGACTGGAGACGTAAAAGACAGGCTGCAGGCGCGCGCATTGATTTCAAATTGCCAATTGCAATGGCCAAGCGACCAAGTCGTTGGTGGAACGCACACGTGGAGCTCTAAGAAGCTACCTGGCCTCTGTCTTTTGGCCATTTTGCAGGTGTGTACAGCATTTCAGAGGCATGTGTGCGTTCTTTGTTGCTGTTCTTTCAGCTGCTGGCTGCTGGACCGATCGTGATTACTGCCAGTTTGGCATCCAGCTGTGAGAACGCACCCACCTCGGATTGGTGTTCAGTTCAGACCCAGACCCATACCCACACCCACACCCACATGTGGCACGACCATGGCTAAAGCATACTTTTCATATATGTATGTATATGTACATACATACTCGTACGAACATAAGTACGTTTATATTCATGTGCAGAATATTAGCACACTGCGAGTGAAAAGTGTGCTGACAAACATTTGCAAGAGGGCCAAGGAAATCCATACTACTAGTATGGATGTTGAGAGACATTGAAGGCTGCTAAGTATGGAAGGCATTCTTGGAAGTACAACAACATTAATCTAGAAACAGAAAACATTAGGCAGTGCCTCCGTTAAAGGGATGTAAAAAAACATCGATATATCGAGCATCGACGATGTTTTTACCACGATGCTTCGATGTTTTCCGATGGTTTTTGGTAACGTTGCATCGTCGATCTATCGATGTTTGTCCAAACATCGAACATTATTCATGTTTTGTTGGACGGTCACATTTCTTTGTGTGGTTTACCGAAGAAGGTATATTTGTAATATAAATTATTTGATGTTTTCATTAAAATGTGTATTTTGTAATATACATTTTAGTTTGTATTTTAACTTCTTTTTTTCGTATATTATATTACACTTAATATGTTTAAAAGGTGTAGGTCGTTGTTTTTAAAACTGTATATAATCAGTTTTTTAAGTAAGCCATACAAGTCATCAAAAGTCAATATTACGAGTACTTTTTTGATTAACAACATTAAGTATAATTCTATGATTATTATCTCAAACATCGCAGTTGATGTTCTCCTCCTAATAATCGTTTTTTTTTTTTATGGAAAGTTAATTTTTTAAAACATCGATGCATCGATGTTTTTTTGCGATGCATCGATGTTTTTTTGCGATGCATCGATGTTTTCCCTTCGACTTACATTCCTTTAAGGGATGGTAATCATTTGATAAACAACGGCCCTTAACTGCTTAAGAATACAACCCCGGTTTCCCCACTCTCTCATCGAATAGGTATCGAAACATCTACATGCAAGCCGGTCGTGCATTTTTCAATTTATCGATAAATTGTATCGTAATTGAAATGTGGCACACTTCTTATAGACTATTCTTATTATCCCAAACTGATGAGCTGAATATCAGTTGCCTAAAATATCAAATCAAGCTTTATGTTTGTACTATTATTTAAATATAGTAAATCCTCAATATATAGCCTCAGTTACAGTTCAGTTAAGTGAATTTTTGAAATAGCTTTTAGCAGAGTCTGCAATAAGAATGAAATGGATGTCCGAATAAATGTCCAAATTATCAAATTTTCGTAAGCTGATGAGGGCAATGAGGGATTTTCGCGGAAAACGAAAAAATGCCACACATTTCAGGGGAATAGGAAAACAAAGTGAAGAAGAGAGCAAGAGCTCTTTCGAGAGCTTTTGAGCAAGATCATTATAATCTAGACAGTAGAATCCGTCTGTTGTCCTTCTATAGAAAGAGGTAATTAGCTGCTAGTGGTTTCAGAGTCCATAATTGGACAAGAATAATATAAACTCGTCATTCAGAATTATTAATATTAGAAGAAGGTGTACTTTTAATTTGCAAATGTCAGTTGAAATGCTCACAATTATGGTGGATTACTTATGTACTTATCTTCTGTTTATCACTTTTTAATTTAATCCCACCATCATTTTTTGTCTCGTTTTTTTAACGAATTTATTATCTCCATTAATTATTTCCCAATTTTTCTATTGAAATACTTATGGCCCCTACTGTAGATCTCTCACATATGTATGTAGTATAAGCGCTAGTGTTGATTGATTAATCATTGCTGGTAATTTGATTTTGTACCTTTGCGTTACCGTTACGCGATTGTGGCAGCAACTGTTGCTGTTGCTCTTACTGCTGTTTTTATTTTTTTATCCCACTCCCAACTGGTCTCTGACAAGCCTCTTTTCAGCGCTTTGATTGATTGTTTCATTGCATTTGAGCTTTGGCATATTCACCTTGTTGCGAGTCATAGACCAGACATATAAGTACGAGAACATACAAGTATATGTGCAGTGTCTATATAGCTCGTCCGACTTATGTATTTTGCCAAGTCAGCTTAGCTGTTACAATCCTTGAGTCGGCGCGTCTATTACCCGTACAGTGGGGGCCCAAACGGTTGGCACACTTCTGATTCGGCTGATTAACTTCTGCGCCTGCGTTGACAGCTCGGCCCAAGGAATATACTTACTGCGAGCAGTACGTGAAGGTGGCTGATGAAATGTCTGCCCATTTGAATAAATATAAGTTCGTGTATATGCATACGAATATGTTCTACATATGCAACAATTGAAGTACACACTACAAGTATATTTATTCTATCGGCTCATTAGGCGCCCAGTCAGGTGGTGGCGCATTTATTTAGTTGTAGTTGTTTCTGTCTCTGTCTCTGTCTTTCGAGAGCTAGTAAATCATTTAGTCAACGACAACAACTTGTCAACGGTGCAAAAAATTAAATTCAAACCCATTGACTAGCATTTGAGAGGCTGTAGTGGGCATAGGTGGGGTAGGGTCGGGACTAGGGGGGTTCCTCTCTAGTAACAGTAGTCGCCCGGCCGGGGTCTGTTTTCGTGCGTTTGGTCATGGCTCTCATGTTGCATATAAATGACGCTTAATGAGCTCGTGCCAAATGCAGTTCAAGGGGCAAGGGGGGAGGAGGCAGGAGGTAGGAGGTAGGGGCAGCAGGCCAACTAGCCAGTCAAATGTTGCTTACCGCCTGTCCATGTTTGTTGTCCATGTTCGTGTTGCACTCAAATTGCTGTTAGAATTCCACAATTTTATGGCAGCGCTTTGATTCGATCACGATTTCTGCCAACTCGCGGCAGCAGGCAAATACATTTCCACACACTAGAAGAAATAATTTGAAAAGGCTTATTGTAAAATTAATATGTTTTTTTAAATGCTGCCATACATTACTTAAACTATACGGGAGTTATTAAATCTAATGCATTTGCTTTTAGCTCCAATAGTATTCGAGATTCAAGCATTCGGGCAGAGACGAACATTCAAGAGCGAATCTTAATAATAGAAAAGGCTGAAATATCAGACCAGTTAGTTCGATCTCTTCGTCTATAGTACATATCAGATATCAAATACATTTTACTTATTATTCTAATTCCCTTAGAGCTCCATTTTGTTAGTTTGTTTTTCAGAAGAGACTGGATCTTATACATACATATGTATAGTGAAATGTTTAAGAAATAAGGGACACTGAATTATAAACTATTCTGTTATAATATCAAGCATTTTTAACATAAAAAGAAGTTAGCTTCTATATAGTACATTTGTTTTCATTGACTGTTAGATTCATTTCGAATGAACCGAATCTGAGAATTTTAGCTTTATTTGTGCGGTCCATACTGAACTTTTTGGCTTTTTATGTTATGGATTGTATATGGAAATGATGCGAAGCAATGCTTAACTAACTTAACTATTCTTAGTTCCGAATTAAAACAACAAATGAATTATTGAATATCACAAAGACGTGAAATTCGATTTCCTTCTAAACAACATATTTGTTTTTTATTATTATTTTTTTTAAATTACAAAATGTTACTAGCACATTTCTAACTATTTTGATTCTAAATTGAAAACCAATTGCATTTCTTGCAGTGTAGCGACTATATTTAAGACCCATATGGCTAAGTAAAGTTGTCGCAAGTTAGTTTTATTTTGGTTACTTTTTTGTTTGGCTTGGGGCGCGGCAGGTGCAAAGCCAGAAAGGCAGTTGGAGTGGAGTTGGTTAGGAAGGAATTTTTGTTGGCTTTCCCACGCATTGCGCCGATCCATTGTTTTGGGTGCAATCTTCAATCTAGGCAGCAGCTACTTACGACTCACTAACAAGCTCTAGTGTCTAGTTCCAAGTCTCTAGTCTCTAGTCTCGAATTGTTTGTTTGTTTGTTTGTTGCTTCGATCGATCGCTTTGGCTAGCTTCGCTTTATTATTTTTAATTGGACTGATTTGCCGCTACAGATACATTTGTGTTGCATTTGTAGCTGCGCATGCGTCCAGTGACGACATTTGTCGCCACAATTTACGGCATCACGTGCCGCACACGATGCCCCCAGCCAATCAATCTCTATATACTTGTAGTAGCCTTACAGTTGTGGGCGAAAGCGACTCAGGCTTTTGGCGGCAACTGTACTTTCGGAGAGGGTTAGCCAGCAGCGGCAGCTGATTGACCATCATTGAGGTCGCACAGCTGTATGAAGTTATTGTGCGCTGTTGTTGTTGTCACGCAGCTTGCAACGCTTAAGAGGCACGAAGGGTTGCTGCGGTGTTGCTGCCAAAAAATAATTCCCACGATGCCGACGAACTCGCTCATCATCAGCTGCATTTTCGCGCATTTTTTTCATCTTGTTTTTGTGCTTCAAGTCAACACGCCTGTCAGGATCAACGCTGCGACGGCTGCGCGTCCTTGGCGCCGCCGTCAGGGGTAGGCAGCAACAACAGCAACAACAACAGCAACAACTGCAGGGCTGCCTCAATTAGGGGTTGTGATTAATGCTGCAGCGGCTTCGCCAAAACCTAAACGAACAAAAGTCGTGGCAACCAACTCTCCAAGTCGTGAGGCAAGCTGTGACATTATTACGTCAGAGTCAATATTTGCATTCCCCATGTGTGCGTGTGTCTGTGTGTGTGTGTGAGAATCTTGTTCGTGTTGCCCCTAATGATGAGGCAGGTATTGTGTTGCAAAGGGGCCGTTTGACTTCCAGACATTTTAATCGCCTCGAGCAACGCCTCGAGGAAAAATATAGTATGTGTGCCCTGGGCGTGGTTAGACGAAGTGATAAGAAGCCCCTATGTTCAGACTTGCTGGCTTAACAGCTCTAGACGTCTAAGTCGGTTGTAGAAACAAAATTCTATTTCAATCTTGCCAGCATCTGCTATTTAATTTCCCTAATCGTTCTCTAGCCAAAAAGATTGCAGTTTTCTGCATATCCTTTTTCTAGGGGTTATCTGAATTTTGATTCAAAAACTTATTTCAAATGGGCGTAGCCATGGCCTGGTAATGGTACTGCTCTCTTAATGAGGCCTGAAAGTACCATACAGCACCTTTCCCGATACAGCATTCCTGGGCTATTGCCGAGCACGTGCCCTTTTGGAGGCCAATGTGTTTTCTTATAGATCAAACACATATTCAGGAATCCTTAAAGACTACTAAGCTCTTACGGACATATTAATTCTTTCTTCCACAAAGACTGGTGTTACTAGCTACTATATAGTTCGCAATGTTCTCGGTTCTCTGGTTCAAAAAGTTCTCGGCTTTCATACGGACGGACATGGTATATCGTTTCGTGGGATCATCTCCTGGCTGTTTAAGGTATTGGTGACCGAAACACTATGGATATTTCAGTTAGGTTGTAGATGAACAAGTTAGCTAAATATTATTCTAAACTAAGATTTTTGTTCCTATAGAGCTCTAATAAGCTGAGAACATGGGAGGTTTGAAAAATGTCACAAGTATTTCTAAATCAGGCAAAATTAAATACCATTGAATGCTTGAAAGGTCGGCAAACTTCTTCTAAATGTATTTCACATCTTACTATATTCTAGAGTTTCAATTTAAACAGCTGTGATCTTATTTAAGTATGAAATAAAATGAAGCTGTTGTTATTACAAATTTTTAGAATGGCAATTTGGAACTATTTTTTATGGCAATACCAATGCTAACTGAATATATATAAATACAGGTTATCAACTAATAAATAATATCAAATTTAAATTTCACGTCAAAAGTTTTTTTTAATAAAAGTAAATTTTAAGAGAAACGTGTTCAGCTAGAAACTTTGTCGTCAAAGTCTTATCCACAATCGTTTTCATTTAATTTGCAATCCATATTAATTATAATTTTACGTATCTCAGCTTATCAGCTGCATTTAATTCGTCTCCCACGCCATGGCAGCAACCACCGTGATTACCACCGTCATCGCCTCCATCACCACCACCACGTTGAGCTTGTCTGTGGCAAAGGCCCCCCCGACAATATTGCCACAGACACCGGATACTGGATGGTGGCAACTGGTTTCTAGAATCGGTGGCACTAGCACCCGTGCAACTTTTGTGCAAAAATTATGAATGTTTCAGCACTTAACTCTATACTATTTATTTCTACTTTTTTCTTTGTTTTTTGTTTTTTGCTTAGTTACCGCAATTAGTCGCCGGCAGTTCGTTCACACGACATGTGGCTAGCTGTGATTTTGAGTAATCATCGGCTGGCGGAAATTCAACGAAATTGCCATGTGCGAGTCGCGCTGACTCCCTGAGCAGCCACCCCTCCCTTCTTGCCCCCCTCCACCAACAGCCTGCACGCCCCTGGCCAGGCTGTCCATTTTCCAACAGCAGTGTGACCCACAAACTTGACAAATCCATCAGCGCACGCCCAATGCATGGAGCGCGCACTTGACGGCAAAAAGCGCCAGAAAAATAATTTTACAAACGGTTTTATTGTCGTCCGCACCGAATTTATATGCCCTTCATTATGTTTCTTTACAAAGAAACTGTTTTAAAAAGTTGTTGAAAAATCGGAGAAATAGGAAATGAAAATTCAATGACATCTGGTTCTGGAAATCTACTCTATTATTTAAAACAAAAATTAATATCACATATTTCAAAATTATATTCCCTTTACTGATTTTCAGAGAAAAGAGTAAGTACTATAAAAATTTGCTGGAAATCTGAAATGAAATCACTCGCTGTTTAAAAATATGGAAATTAATTCGATAGAATCTCAACATAAAAATAATTCAACAAATGAGAAAACTCGATCAATTTTAATCGAACTCTAGCCCCATTCTGTTGTTTTCAAATGAGATGACTTATTTAATGAGATACAACTGACTAATTAACAATTTGTTAAAATTGATTTCCAAACATTTCACAGCTTTAAGAATATTTAAAAATTCTATACATGTACCATTTGATATAATAGATTCAATTTCTACAAAATCAAATGCTCCTGATAATTGTACCTGTATTGGTTCTTTTGAGTTGGCAAGCCATGGTTTTTCAGAAATGAACGAACATTTTAATAATGTGTATAAACAATTTGTCAGAGAAAGATTTAATTCAAAGGCAATGAAGAAGTGGTTTTATAAAATTAATTTATTGAGTACTGTAACATACTTTTAAAATTGAAAATATTTTTGAAAGACTGCAATAGTTGATTCGTTTGAAATTGGTTTTATTTTAATCAACCATTTCTTGGGCTAGAAGTATTAGGGAAAGTATACTTCCCCAATTGGGACACAACTTTTCCGTGCTTTGTCAAGCATAAAGACAATAAAACTAGAGTCAAAATTTCAACTCTCTTTTTTTCCAAGCTATGTTGAGTGAAGAAGAAGTTTTATACACATTGGTGATTGTACCATTAGACAGAAGGCATCAATTTCTTTCTTTTCCACTTACTTATGTGACAAGTAAAACATACCCTTTATGTGAAGGGTATTCAAAATGTGAAACCCAACACTCGACGTTTGGCTCGAACCCGAACCGAGGCGTCAGGCATCATCGTAAATCAAATGCTCATAACTTTTTCTGCAAACGTTTGTTGGCGTAAATCACGCGAAATCAACGTGAAAAACTTGAAAGGAAAATCATAAGTCACGGCATGTCTGGGTCGTCATCTTCATCGCCATCGTCATCTTCATCTGCAGCGGCTGCGGTTGCCAGTTGATGACTACCTGAGTCTGTTGACTGCTGACTGCAGTTCATTGGTTGGTTGGTTGGTCGGTCAGCGTGGAGCTTGATAGTCTCCTCTGCTCATATTCATATGCAAAGTGTCAGTCATAAGTGACTTTTCTGATTTTGACTGCCAGCAACAACAGCAGTACAACAACACCAGCAAC